AGGGGGCGAGGGGTGTTAGGGGGAAAAAATGAGAACCAAGCCCTGTCACGTAAAAGTACAAGATCCCAGTGATGAATGTAACTGTACTGTGTCCCTAAAATGTACCAATAAACTCAACGAGGAAAAAAAATAATCAAAATATAATTTCTCCCGGTGAGGGCTGGCAATGGGTCTGCCCACAGCAGAGCCCCGGGCGGCCACTGCCAGGGGAAGACTGTCCAGCAGTGACGCAGAGCAGGAGGAAAGTGCTGCCCTTTCCTCTCCGGCTTCTCTTTTGTTTTCTGCCTCTCACCTTACATGTGGATCAGCTGGTTCTTAGGCCCTCGGGTAATCAGGCCCCGATGCAGTAAGTGTCTCAGTCCCCTGACCCCCTTGCTGCCTAAAGTACTGCCCATGGGGACTGTGCCGCCCACCTCCCATAACCCCGAGGACGTTTGTCCCACACGCCCTGCATGTGCTCATGCTGTCACCAGCCTTCAAGGCCAGGCCCACCGAAGCCCGGCTACAGCTGCGAACTCACAGAGAAGACGCAGCCATCCATTCATCAGCAGCGGCTGTTTCTGTGGAGCCCGGCCCTGCCAGGTATGATCCCGTCAGCAAAGCCTTCACTCTGTCTAGGTAGGGAGATGACTAACAGCAGAGAGTCTGCAGTGTGTGTTAGGTAGAGCAGGGAGCAAAGCACCATATCGGAGTGATCCTGAGGAAGGCTTCCCTGAGGGGACGGCCGGCTCAGGGTCAGGTGAGAGCCTCGCCGTGGGTCCACAAAGACCATTGCTAGTGGGAGAGGGAAGAGAAAAGGAAACTTCAAAACTGCCCAACATTGCCAGGCACGGTGGCATATGCCTCTAATACCAGCACTCAGGAGGCTGAGGCAGGAGGATCCCTGCGAGTTCGAGGCCAGTCTGGGCTACACAGTCAGTTCAAGCCCAGCCTGAGGTACACAGTGAGACCCTGTCTTAAAAAAGAAAAACAAAACAGAACAAAAAACTGCCCAGCGCCCTTTGGAAGCAGCGATGGGGTGGGCACCTCCAGACCACCAGGCTTCGTATCAGCTGAGGGTTTTGAGCCACACTGGTGTGAAAAGGAAAGGAGCAGCCAGGCCAACCCTCCTTAGGACAGAAGTAGGAAAAAACAACCAATCTCTGCATTTTCTTGCCTTTGATTTGATGTTTATCAAGGGAAATCTTGTTTCACTTTTATAGCAAATGTTTATGACTGGACCAGGGACTGGCTTGCCCGTCTCCCTCCCGTGCAGCTTCCCGTTTCCCAAGCTGGTAGTTTTGCAATTGTGTGAGATTTGTCGGATGGTTTCCACCCACATCAAAGGGCAGATTGAGGTCCCTCTCGCCCTGTGGCCTGCTGGTTGCTTCTTCCAGGGAAAAGTAGCTCCTAGATTGGCCTTAATTTCCCTCCTGCCTACGCTGGCGCTCCAGTCTTCGAGCAGAACTCGGTTCTACATTGCAAACTTCTTAGTTCCACGCCAGCTCTGCCTGACTCCGTAAAGAGGATGTGCTGGGAGGACACCTGGGGGTGTGCAGGGTTCAGCAGGAGGCTGGACAGTCACCATCTCTGCATCTCCGTTACCTCTAAGTCCCTGTGTCAGACATGCACGGGGGCCAGGAGTGCCTCACCCCAGCCAGAAGGAAGTATTTGCGGGTGTCCTGTGGCCTTGTTAGGGTGCGGCAGGTGAAGTCCAGAAGAGGAGGGTCAGCAATGAGAGTGACAGCCATTGTAGGAGAGCAGGAAATCAGGATGGAGGCCTAACTGACCTTCTCTGTGAGCACAAAAGAAAAGCAGCAGGCGGAGCCTCCTCTGGCCACGTGAGGGCACGCTGGCGCAATGCGGGTTTCAGAGAAGAGTCAATAAGCTGAGATCTGTTTACCTGGTACGTGCTATAGATAACAAGAGGCAGATGAACCTTCTACTAAACTAACTGTTTATTTCCCATGTCTAAGTGCACAAAAGCGACTTGAGCCAAACATTCAGGACTCTTCCTCCACCGGAGGCAAGGAGCCCCCAGGCCTCTCGTTCCAGATTATTTCTGTGTCTCGTGTCTTTCGTCCTTGTTCACCACCCTTCCAGTCAGGGGTAAACTCGTAGGCTGGTTCCTACAGCCGGTGGAAGATCCCAGAGACCCAGTGGAGGCCGGGGTTGAGTTGAGATTGGATTCCTCACAGGAAGATCCCTAGTGAGAAAAGGAATGAAAACTGGGACCACTGTCAGTGGCCGACTCTGAGCCTGGGCGGAACATACGTGACCAAATCTCATTTACACGGTGCCTGAAGGGTATGTAGCAGTATCCCTGTTTGACAGACCAAGGTACCGAGGCTCAGAAGGTTGGGATTCTCCAGGGCCTGATAGCCCCTGGCATCCAGACTTTGTTCAGCTAGATTTTGAAGCTGACCTTGCCTGACTGCCCTGGGTTTCCTCTCCCCGGGATGCACCCAATTGCGACTGCATTTCTGACCCCTCCAGATAATTGTTGTCGGAGACAGAGTTCCTTTGGCGGTGCTCGGCTAACATACACTTTCCCGTTCATCTTGCTTGATCATCTGCCAGGAAAGACAGGAGTAACTGGCTACCCTCTTGCTTTGTTTTTTTCTGCCTTCTTTTAATGTTTTTCTTGACATAGAAAGAGCTGTGTATTTCTGTGTAACTGGTGTGTTAGGATCCTGAGGCCTTTCTAGGTGAATATCAGGGGCATGTATTCTCTCCAAAGTCAACAGCCAAAATTCATCCCACATGGACGTGGCAGGCTGCCACTGATTCTAGATTGTTCTTCCATTGAAAATGCTGAGTGGGTGACTTCTCAGCAAACAGAGCTCTGGAAGGTTTAGCTTCAACACAAGAGCACTTTTTTAGGAGAGGGCCTTTGAGAGACCATCGCATCCTTTTTAGGGTCTGAAACAAAAGGGTTGGTCTGGTCTGGACATTTATAGCCTGAGGAGGCTGTTACCCTTCTGCAGTCGAGTTCAATGCCTGAGGTAGTTTCTGTTGTGCAGAACCAAGGTGAACCTTAGGGGGCGCAGCTCATCTCTGGGCAGGAGGCCAGAAGAGCCAAGTGGGGTCCGCGGGAGTTGGCAGCAGAGGGGAGAAGCCTTCACCCACTTATCTGGGGTATCTTCTTTTGTCCAAGGATGTGTGAGTGATGTTGAGTGACAACCCTGGCCCCGGGAGGTGGGCTGGAAGAGAGAAGTTGGCTTATCATGACCAAAGCAAAGAGAGACTCTCAGGGGAAAAGTGATTTGTGTGGACTGTGAAGGGACACGTCCTAGGAATGCTGATGGTAAGGGAAACGTAGTTCAATTCCAGGACCTCAGCCCACCCTCAGTTTCCCTCAAAGGCCTCTGCTCTCAGGAACTGCACAGGTGAACATTTATAATTTAAGTAGGCATCTGTGCATGAACAGTGTCTCATGCTCTGCTGGAACTCCAAACCAGAAAGCATCATTTTTGTTGAATGATTTCTAGCCTCTCGTGTCCTTTAACCAGCACGTTACAGTCTCTGGTTACTAAGACGGCTATGTAGCCACTGCCTAAAAGAAAGATGCATCTGTTGGTTGAGCTACGGACTATAGATTCACTGCTCCCACAGATGGAGCAAAGAGACATAAACTTGGAACATTTCTGCCAGATGTAGCCAAAAACATGAATTGTCTTAATATATAAAGAGATCTTTTTTTAAAAAAGTGATCTTACATAAATAATAAGATCAATAATCAAATGAAAATGAACAAAGGAAATGAACACATCACAGAAGTTAATACAGCTTTTAAATGCCCCAAATGATGTGTAACCTCATTTATGATAAAAGAAAGATGATGAGATACCATTTCACCTTCCCGATTTAAGTTTGACAATATACTATGTTGTTGAGGCTGCAGGAAAATGGACTCATACATTTCTGGTAGGGACGTAAATTGGTACAGTGACCTCTTTAAGGTATTCGCCAGTATCAGTCAAGACTGAAAATTCATGTACCCTGTTTCATGATCTATTACCATGCAACAAGCTACCCCAAAACTTAGTGACTTACAATTATTTGGATCATGTTTTTGAGGATCAAAAACTGAGGAAGGGTTCAGTTGGGTGCTGCTTCTAGTTCCACCTGGTTTGTGTGTTCAGGAGTAGTCCGTGCTGTGTGAGTCACTCCCAAGCTGCCACGAGTACTAACAGGCATGATACCTTGGGCTCCTGGGCCTCTCTTTCTCCTCCTCATCATCTGCTTCACACAGTACCTTCAGGCTACGCCATATGGCTTATATTTCTTACCACATAGGGGTCTTAGACAGTGGTGCAGAGTAGTCACAGAAGTAAGAAGAAAAAGCTGCCAGTCCAGTTAAAGGCTTCGCTCAGAGCTGTACCAAAATTACTTCTGCTCTGTTCTGTTGATTTTCACAATTATTGTTAGCCCTAACCACAAATCCAAAGAGATGGATAAATACACTCCATCTCATCTTGGAGTAGTGGCAAAGACACATTTGAAAAGAATGTGAGGTAGAAGATGTTTCTGTGATCATGTTTGGAAAGTAAAATCTACTATTTACATTTTGACCCACCAATTCAGTTTTTAGAAATTCTTTCTAAGTTTTAAAAACGGGAGCAAAATGTATGACCAAGAGTATTCATTACTTTCAAAAAGTGGTTTTTTTGAGACAGGGTCTTGCTGTGTAGTTCAGGCTGCTCTTGAACTCACTCTGTAACCCAGGCTGGCCTTGAATTTGTGGCAATCCTCCCACCTCAACCTCCAGAGTGCTGGGATTACGTGTCTGAGCCATCACAGCCAACTCCTGGAATGTTAGCGGTAAAACTAGACTAACCTAAACATCTATCGGTAGACAAGGGTTAAATAATGCAATTTTTTATGGCCATACGATGGACAGCAGTGTACCTGTTTTAAAAATTGACAGCTGTGTGTACTGATATTGAAAGATATACATACTTTCAAATAAAGAAAGGTGCAGAGCCCATCTAAAAAAGGTGCCCAAGGAAGGAAACATTTCTATAACCCTTTTACAATAAACCCATGGAAATCGTATTAGAAATTTAGCCCACATACATGTCGGGCTGTTGAGGCCATACAGAGAGGAAGTCCTGCTGCTGCTGACATCCTGTGTTCCCAATTCTGCTCAGACTGAAGTCCAAATCCTGCTCTCCTGGGAAGGCTGCAAGGACATCCACACCTTGCAGTTCTTCCCACTGCTCATGTCCATGTGATAATGTGGCTTTTGGAACCAGTCATCATAGGCTTAAAATTTCCCTCTACTCTGTATAAGATACGATGTTCCATCTCTCCAAGTCTCTGCTTTCTCACTTGTAAAATGGAGCCATAATGATCCTTACTTCTTAGAAATAACAGCTTTTGGGGCCACGGATTTAGCTCAGTGGTTCTGCTGCCTGCCCTGCAGGAGCAAGGACCCAAGTTTGATCCCCGGTACCAAAAAATAAAGAAACAAACAAACAACAGCTTTCTAAAAAGATCAGTAGAGCCCTTGGTACAGTGCCTGGTACCAAAGAAGTGGCCTTTACAGTTCCAATGGCGGTCACATCACACCAACCAAATCCAACAAAGAGAGTACAGGC